GTCATTGGAGGCAAAGTCCTGACAAGAGAAGACTCACTGTGGTACCAACTGCAAGGTCAGGAATTCCCCAAACCACCCTCAGGTTTGATAATTTGGTAGCAGGACTCAAAGAACTCATTGAAAGCTGTTATACTCACAGTTCTGATGAACAGTGAGAGGATGCAGATTAAAATAAGCTAAAAGAAGGAGTGTATAGGGTGGAGTCTGGGGAAGAAGGAAGCATAGAGTTGGCGGGGTTCTTGCCTGTGAAGTCAGGATGCGTCATTTCCTAGCATTGCGTGTGAGAACATCCTCAGAGCAGTGCTGATCAGGAAGGTCATCCAAGCTGTGGTGTCCATGGTTTTTTGGGGGCTCTATTACATTGGGGTTTCTCTGATGGTTCAGATGGTAAAGAATCTGCCTGCAATGCGGGAGGTTCGATCCCTGGATTGGGAAGATCCCCTGGAGAAGGTAATGGCAACCCACTCCAGTATTCTTGCGTGGAGAATCCCATGGACAGAGGAGACTGGTGGGTTCCAGGCCATGGGGTCATAAAGAGTTGGACACAACTGAACGACTGACACACAACACATCCACTGCCCAAGTGGTTCACTTCACTCTCCAGTCCATTAGCTGTGGACTCAAAAGTCCCCCAGCCTCAGTCACACTGTTGGCATAGTACAGACACAGTCCTGTGAAGATGACATCCCAGGCTCTTAGAGATTAACTCCTGGAAACCAGAGAGCAAATGCCAGCCCTCCTTTTGGAGAGGGGTAAATTCTTTACCACACAGCATTAATAAAAATTAAATAAGATTTGGAACACTGTTAGACCCTCTTTTAACACCTTTTCCTCTAACTCTTGGATACCCTACTGGGAAACAGAACTAACTCAATGAAAAGTGTCCTGAGATCCCAAGAAGTGATCAGCCAAACAACCTTACAATAGACCAAAATGAAATTAGCACAGGATGAGATAAAGGAAAATAAGTAAGCTGTGGCCACGGACCAGAAAAGATTGCATATCAAGAACAGATGGAGGAAAAGATAAAGCAAAATAAATTAAACTTCTCGTGAAAAGGCTCAGTCTCCTCAGAACTGCAAAGTCTACTGAGGATCCAGCTTTCTAAGCCCCTCCTCCACCTCTGAACTCTGAGCCAACTTTTACTGAGAGAAGCATTTTTGACAGTCTACCTAACCAAGAGTTAATAATTGATGATCATGTATATAAAGTTTCACCTGTCACACTCAGACACAAATGGCCTACCAGCTTTGAAGGTTCAGAAGACTCGGTACCAGATGAAAGATGATGAAATGTCAGGAACACAGCTATTTTAAGGAAGAAAGGAATGTTCCGTAGGGTCCTGGGAACTGCCTTTTGGGGGATGGGGATAGGGGAACAGTCTTAAAGACTTAGAATGGGGAAAAAAAAAGTGGGTTGATCCCTGAGGATATTGTGTTCTTATGACTACTTATCAAATGGTGGAAGTCAACCACTCTAATTTCTATATCTGGGAAATTTCTTTTCCCTTATATTTTGGATTCCAATCTTACTAAGCATATACTTAATGCCAGATACTTCTATTCAGTCCTTGTGACTCAAGAGATAGATAGGGCTTCCCTGGTGGTCTAGTGGATAAGAATCCTCCTGCCAATGCAGGGGACAGGGGTTCGATTCCCCATCCAGAAAGATCCCATATGCCTTGGGGCAACTAAGCCCATGCACCAGAACTACTAAGCTTGTGCTCTAGAGTCTGGGGGGTTGCAACTCCTGAAGCACTTGTGCCCTAAAGCCTGTACTCTGCAACAAGAGAAGTCACCACAGTGAGAAGCCTGTGCACTGAAACTGGAGAGGAACCCTGCTTGCCGCAACTTGAGAAAAATCCCCCAGTAGCAGGGAAGATCCAATGCAGCCAAAATAAAATTAGTAAATATTTAAAAGAGATAATCTCCCATTTCACATATGAGGCTCTGTCCCTTGCTTCGGGATATGAAGTGAGCAAAACAGGACTCAAACAAGGCTGTCTGATTCAACAGTGATGGTCCCTTTATGATACCTAGGGGTTTGGAGGAACAGACTTACCTTGGCTTTCCATGACACATCTGTGTGTGCCAGCATCATCTGAATAGAACCAACCCAACCACAGAGTGGACAAAATAACCTGCCCCCACATCCATGTACAAAGTTCACATCCTTTATTGATAGCCCCTCTTCAGAACCTATTGACATTTAGTATGTGCGTCAATCTAATAGATTTGGTAGAATGACTGAACAAAACCTGTAGAAATAACCTAGAAAGGAAGGATAAGATTGTAAAAGTGATAGATACAGGGGAGGAAGGAGAACCATTGTCACAATGTGTCCTCTTATGTTTGAAGGCCTGCGTGTGCAAGGAAATCTCGGGGCCAGAGATCCAGATAGATACACCAGTGAGTGTTAAAAATGGTCACTTTAAAAACATGTCCCATCCCTGACCTCAGCAACCCTGTGAGGTGTGCGAGGCGGTGAGGATTATACTTGGCCTTGATCACATAAGCCTGTATGTTGCAGTAACATGAGTAAAAATCAAGTCCTATAAATGTCCCAACTACGTGTTTGGGACAAGAAGACAGATACCTAGGAATTGTCCCTAAGGTAGTGGCAGAAATGTGACAGGCCATCTGCTCAAAAAATAATTCACTTGGAACAGGTTATAAAAACTTTGCTTCAGAGGAGGAAGAAATTTGCAAAAATAACCATTTCCCCAGTATAAGGATGCTTTTGAGTATACATTATTATAGCAGTGATTCTCAAAGGGAGCTCTGGGCTGTGGACCAGTGGCCTTAATAGAACCTGGAGACCTGTTGGAAATGTAAATTCTCAAGCCTGACTTCTCATCTGAATCAAAAACTCTGAGATGGGGCCCTGTGAACTGTATTTTAACAGGCATTCCTGTTTGTTCTTGATGCAGCTAGACTGCTGTACATGGATGCAGATCACTAGAAACCCTTCTCCTGCCCGGCCTTTTGTCCTCACACTCTTTGGCTTCCACCACCTCCCTGGAATGCAGGCTTGGCTTTGTGGCAGATGGTGGGACTGGTGGCTGTGGGTGGTGGACAGAGTGCCGCACTTGATTCTAGAGACCTGAGCTGACTGCTTTGTCACTTCCTGGCTCTGTGACTTTGGGCAAGTCACTTGGCCTCTCTGTTTCTTTATCCATGAAGTAGAGTGGTTACCTACCTCACAGACTGTGTACACTGAATTAAATACTAAATATGTGTAAAAGTGGCCAACAGCATCTGACACTTAGAAAGGTGTTCTGTAAATAGTTTTTTAAAATCTCAGACATCCAGAAGACACATCTCTAATCCCTGAGGGACCCACGTTGAAATGGGGCCGTGGGCTGTGAGAGCTGCAGTGTATTATTCCCCTCTTTATATAGGATGAGATAAGAGGCGGCAGCCAGGAGGAGGAGACTGAGGGATTGAGTCTAAGAGGGGTTGGCAAACTGGTGGTTGGGCCTAACCTGGCCTATGCTTGTTTTTGTGCAGCTGGTCAACCTGGAGTGGGGTGTGTGTGTGTGTGTGTGTGTATTTTTTGACTTCCCTTTAATTAGACTGAACTCTTGGGATTTTAAAAGTGGAATCAATCAGAAGGCAAGGGTATTGGGAAGTAATTTTCCAATACTTGTAAACTCAAATTCTTCTTTGGAGTAAAGCAGGCTTTTGTTTACTGTTCACAGGGTTATTTCTGAGTTGCCAAAAAAAAAAAAAATTCCCTATTCAAACTGAGCTGCCACAATTGGACAGAAAGCATAAGGATGTTTTTTTCTTGCATCTGGGTTTTTATATGTTTAGGGGTTAAAAAGAATGTGCTATGTGAAAATTAAATGAAATTCAAATTCCAGCTTCCATAAATGAAGGTTTATTGGAACACAGCCACCCCATTCACTTAATACTGTCTGTGGCTGCTTTTGTACCACAGCACCAGGGTTGAATAGTTGCGACTCGGCCCATGTGGCCCTCAAAGCCTAAAGTATTTGCTAACTGGCTCTTTATAGAAAAGGTTTGCTGACCCCTGGGCTACGTAGAAGATAGGGAATAGACAAGAGTTGATGCAGAAGATGGTGATAAATAACACACATTGATGAGCTCTGCCAGGCACTGTGCTAAGCACTTCTCATGCTTATATCATTTAATTCTTAAAACAGCATTATTCCCATTTTTCAGATGGGAAAACTGAGGCTTATAACTTGCTCAGGGCCACAGAACCCATAGGCAGAGGAGCCAGGATTTGAATTGAGGTCCAGTTGCCTTCCCAGTCAAGCTTGGAACCACTGTGCTCTCCTGCCTTGCGCTGTTAAGTGGGTCAGGTTAGAAGAGACTTAGGGTCTCTGAGCTGTGCCAGGCGATAGATGGAGGGCAGGTTGGTAGCTGGCTGAAGGGAGACAGGGGTGCCTTGTAGTCTGATGAAAACTCAGGATGATTAGATTCTGAAATGTTTATGGAGTTTGTTTAATGGAAAGAAGAAAGGCAGGCAGGGAGAGAAAAGCCCTTATCACAGCAGATACCTCTGGGCTTAAATCACGTTCTCCCCGTCCCGTAGCGCCAGCAGCTGTGGAAAAAGTGCTTGTGGATGTCTCCCTCTCTGGGTCTGTTCATTAGCCCAGCCTGCTAATGAGGGGAGGTCATTCTGAGCCCACATCAGGCTTAAAAATGGGGGAGTGCAAGTCAGTGAGTTAGGACTGGACAGGAGAGTTCTGTGGCCTTTTTGTCTGTAAAGTAAGAATGTCAAGAACAATTGTTTCTTCATTACTGTGAATGTGAGCCTTGTGTTTTCAAAGGTCAGCGCCTGTGAGCACATCATGGTTTAGAGTGGGTTCCTATGGTAATTAGGCCGTCGTGACTGAGGGCATTTTGTGTCAGGCAACGGGGCACTGGATTTTCGTCTTTCTGAGTACTGCATGCTTGTTCCCTGCAAACGTAACCATTTCTGTTTTCCCTCTTTTCTGCCTGTTTGCCTCCTTTCTGCGCCACATGTAGTTCTGGAGTCAGAGAATTCCTCAGCAGGTATGGTTTCTCTTGTATCTGTTCTATCCCTGCCTTCCACTGGGAACCCTTCAATCAGAGGGAACCAAGGAATGTTCCTGAGAGTGAGGGGTTCTTTTTTTTTTTTTTCATCCCTCAGATGAGTGGAGGCTTTCTTCCAATGCCGATGCCAATGGAAATGCACAGCCCTCTTCACTCGCTGCCAAGGGCTACCGAAGTGTGCATCCCAGCCTTCCCTCCGGCAAGCCCCAGGTAGGCGTGTGCCCAAGGGCAGGGTGGGGACCACTCTTGAGCTGATAGCTTGCACTTGTGCCTGCCTGCTCACTCAGCTGGATGATGGACTGGGTTCTGAGTCGCACTTTTGGTCAACTCTGGGAAAGCCCCAGGAGGACCAGAGTTAGACAGGAGTTGGAGTCAAGGAAAACAGAAACATGGGGGTGAGGCTGGTCTGTACTGAGCATCAGAAATATCAGCCCAGTGTTTCCTAGGTTTGGAACGTGTGCGGAAATGTCTGAAAGAGGGAATGCCAAGCCAGAAAAAAGGTCTGAGACTGTTTTATAACAATGCTTTAGAGTATAATATTCAAAAAGGGAGTGCACTCTTGTGTTTAGTCCGTTAATTTACTGGAGTTGGAACTGTGAGAGTTCCAGCAACTCTGTCCTTATGGCTTTTAGATCAGGGAGCTGCAGCCAGCGCTTAGTCTAGCAACCTAGAAGCAGCAGACGGAAGTTCAAATGGCTTTCAACTGCCTAGCACTACCTTACAAAGGAAAAGCCCCCACGTGGTGCACATGGGAGGAGGGATAATTTTGCTGAAGTTTTTCTGCTGATCTTTCAGGAGAAAGTTGTTTTCCTGATCTTTCTTCCTTCCCCCTCCCCTGTTGCTACTTTGCCAGCTTGATGAAAGGAATAGACCCTGTTGTAATTCAGGCAATCCGTAAAGAGTGTTTTTACATAGCGGAGTAACAGCCATCGAACGGAGCAATCCATTCTTTTAAAAAGAGCTGTGAAAAATACGCAGACCGCCTCCCCACGCCTGCCTTCTGTGCATGTGCTCCCAGAACTCCCCAGGAACCCAGGGAATCCACATGCCTTCTTACTTCCCACCCTGCTTTTCCAGTGATTCTCTGGGTTCTGCTCATGGGGACATAAAATTGCACTTGTCCCTGGAATGAAATTGAGTCAGAGATGATGCCTTCCCTCCCCTGTGCAGAACCCCGTCTCCACAGGCTTAAAGGAGGTTGCTGAATTGTGAGCAGCCCCACTCAGCACCCCGCTCCCTAATCAAAGTCCCCCCCTATACCCCCACCCCCGGTGCGGGGCCACTGATCAGAACCAGGAGCTGCAGATGGGTCTGGTCTCCTGAAGGCCTCATTAGACTTGGGACGTGGGAGGTCCCTTGTCCAGTAAATGATGTGCCATCATTTCTAAGCCCTTTCCAAGCATCTAAGTCTGCTGCTGGTGGCGGGCACCGTTCCTTCTCGGCACTCTCCAGGTTGGATACAGTTGGCTCTGTACCCGGGGTAGGAGATAGTGCTAATTAACCCCAGGCACATGTAGAAGCACAGCCTCTTCCACTATCAGTGACTTAGCCCAAAGGGTAGCTCACTAAGTCCTTTTGGCTTTTAAAACAGTTCTTCTAAAGAGAGGGTTTTAAGAGCATGTCAAGTGAACGAAAATCCCCTTTAAATATACTTACTGGTGGCAACTTTGTTGAGCATTTGTTGCATTCAGATCACTGTGTGAAACATTGCTCTCAAGGAGTTTGTGAGGGTGAGCCTCATGGCAAGGATGACCATTCTGTAACAGCACCTATGAATTGTGTATGCATCTTCTCATCTCTTACTGTCTGAGAAGTTTCTTTGTACTGGGGTGTCTGAAATGATACCTGACAGGTTGCTGAGATAAGAGGTTTTCTGTATGTTCAGTGTAAAGTTGACCATCCAGCTTTCAAGAGCCTTTAGGTCATAGGTTTGTTTTCTGAATGTAAAAATGACTTCTTGTTTCCATAGCCATGGCCAGAACTAATAGGATACACTGATTTACATGGAACTTGGGTAGTTGGGCTGCTGACTGCCCTGGCTTGGTTTCAGACGAAGACAGCTCTCAGACCCCTGCAGGCCTAGCATCTTCTCCTAAGGAGGAGTCCAAGGACTCATGGGCCAGAGAGGAATCCTGTGTCCTGCTGCTCCCATCTCTGCCTTTCCTCCCATGGCCCTCCTCACCTTACCCCTGGGGACAGGCAACCAGGGCTTTCCCATCTCTGACAGCATCATTGTAGTGAGCCCCGGTGCAGTAGGGACTGGTAGTTCTGAAACTGTATACACTAGGATCATGGCAGATTCTTCCAGGAGCTTCATGTTTTTCACTGTCCCATCTTCTAAAAAGATAAATGGAATTTCATTAGTAGCTAGCTGGGGAGAAGTGCCAACTGCCTAGGTGGTTCCCACCGTGTTTACAATAAAAGAGAAAGTAGTTCCTTCCATGTAAAGCGACTGTGCCTACCCTCCTCCTTCTTGGAGCTAAAAGGAGCCCCGGGACAGGAAGGCCTTGGCTCCAAGCACGTTGTCAGAGCTCTGGGGAAGCGTCCTCTCCACAGGGTCAGGGCCCTGGGAAGCTTCAGGCCTGATGTAATTCAGCCCTGGCCCCTTATATGGACACAGCCACATTAAGTTAAAAACTCACTGAAACCAATTGCTATCTTTGGACCAGAAGGAATCTCATGGGGGACACTTGAGCTCAAAATAATTTTGAACCTCACTCAAAATTGCCTTTTACTTACCTCCCTGACCACCAACATCAGCTCACCTTGGTGCATGCTCATTCAAGTGTTTTGTTTCTAGAGATCATTGTTTTAATCCATGAGCACACACCAACTTCCAGCCTAAGTTCACCAAGAGAGTGTACATCTGGAAGGTTCTGCTCCTGCCTGTGGCTGAAAATACATTTTGTATTTTTGGTTGGTGGATATATGGCCACATTCGATAGGCACTGTCCTGGGCTACCTGTGGAAAGAATAGGCATCAAGTTAACCTAGTTAACCTAAGGGGTAGATTGTTTACTGTCTCTCGGTTGATAGTATAGTCCAGATCCATACTTTGTTTCACTTATTCACCCTCACTAACATCCCTTCCCCTTGCTGCCTGCACTCTGCAAAAAACAAAAAGGAAATACAAAATAACCCCCAAATAGGCCACACCTTGCACCCTCCCAGTTTAGGGTTATAATCCATTTACCATCCAAACTCTGCCTCACCTGTGCAGTTTAGTGGAAGGTTCTGGTTTTCTTCTCATAGTGGGTGATCTTTAAAGATAGGGGCCAGTGAAGAAAGTCTGGGTGTCTTAAGCTGCTGTAAGAAAATAACAAAGACAGGTGATTCAATCAGCAGACATTTATTTGTCACATGTCTGGAGGCTGGGAAGTCCAAGATCAAGGTGCTTGTCCATTAGGATTCTGGTTAGGGCTCTCTTCCTGTAGTGCAGACAGCCACCTTCTCCCTGTGTCCTCACCTGATAGAAAGAGAGGGCTCTGGTCTCTCTTGCTTATCTTATAAGGATGCCAGTCCCATCATGGGGGTCTCACCCTCATGACATCATCTAACCCTCATTACCACCCACAGGCCCCACCTCCAAATGCCATCCCTTGGGGTTTGGGCTTCAACTTATGAATTTTGCGGGGACACAAATCCAGGAAATAAACTTTCCTTATGGCCTAATTCCCAGTTGAACCATAGGTTCATAGATGGCTCTCCTTGACATGAAGATCATCTGGAGATTTATCCCTTTCCCCAACCCTCTGCCCCCACTGAGCCCCAAGGAGGAGCTAAGGGCTGTGTTGAGAGGAAATGAGATGAGGGCTGCAGTTTTCTAGCTCTGAGCCTAGAACCAGAGCTTTGCACATAAACCATGAGCCTGAGGCTGATTACCCTTTTCTAGGATTGTCTGTGCCTCGTGGCCAGATGGCGATGGGGAATGAACTGAAATCAGGTAAACCAGGCGCCGTCAGATGCCAATCCAGCTGGCCAGTCAGTTGCTTCATGGCCTGGCCCCTTTGTTCTGGGTGCATCAAAAAATAGGAGACAATATGCTTTTAATTTCATGACTGTCTTCCTTCTAATAAGTAGTTCCATCAAATTGTTTCCTAGGAGACAAGAGCACTCATGGATTCTAAGTCCTTAGCAGTCTCTTCTTGGTGGGCTTTAACTTATGCCTGGGGGATTGAGTGCTAAATCTTAGGGACTCAATTGAGACGTTTGCCTCTGGTGAACACAGCTCTGATGATTCTTCTGGTCCTACATTTCCTAAGGGAAAAGAGTGAAACACACTCAAGAATTTGAGGGAACTCAAACCTTGGAAGCCAAAGGCATGGAGTGGAAAGTCTTTGAGGAAAGGAGATAGGAGAAGGCCGGGAGCTCTTAGGCTTCTTCCACTGGCACTTAGCCCTCGGTCACCCTTGTTGGGTCAGGAGGTCTCAGCAGGTACAGGTCAGTCCAGAACTAGTGTCAGACTGACTGAGCACCTGGGCTGAGCTCAGCATCGTGTGACGTAGAGGGGAGTCAGCCTGCCTTTTCAGGTGAGTATGATCTGGTCCTTGACTTTATCCTGAGGAGAAATGAACAAGCCAGGAGGAGTCTAAGCTGAGGGTTTGCTTACAGTCATGTCAGGAATTGTTTTTTCTTCAGATCATGTTGTGCTGCTGTTTCTAATGGTCGTCCTTCTTCCCGTTTCCCCTCCTCTTTCTTTCTTTTTACTGTGTCTCAAAAATACTATGAAGGTCCTCTGTCCCCCACGCCCTCCTTTCCCCAGAGAGGACCGCTTTGCATGGCAGCCCCCCAGCACCTGCAGTCCCTCCAGGGACTCACTCTACCTGAGCTCACCAAAGCCTTACCTTCCGCCTGGCACCCTCAGCCAGCAGAGCCCCTCACTACCCCGGCCCATCTCTGTCCCCGTGGCAGCCGGAGCAGCCCCCCGAGGTGTGCCATGTCCTGGGCCCCCGCTTCCGGGTTCCACATTCCCTGGCGCTTGGTCCCAACCCCAGCAGCGCTGTGCAGCCGCCAGGACAGTTGGTAGAGAGAATGTGAGCTCTAACCCACGTCATGAGGCAGTTGGGAATAAAAAGGTCAGCAGCTTATATGTACCTTGTTTATCCCGTAACGTTCGCCCGGTGGCATCGGAAAACCTCGCTGGTGTTGCACGTGACGCAGCCAAAGGCACTGAAGCTGCAGGCACTCGGGCACCGGCTCCCACCATTGTCTCCCGCATAGCCGGCACAGGGACGCCTCCCTCTACTGCTCCTCCCAGCCCTCCCAAGCTATCCTTTGACATCCATAAAGATGCCGTTGGCTGTGGCCAGAGTCCTTCCCCAGGGCCTTGGCCTTCGTTCCCAGACGCAGTGAGAGCACCTGGGCTAGGCCCCCAGGTTACCTCTGATCCCGAAAACCGGAAGAGAAAAGAACCTTACCTTTTGCAGCCGTGTTATCAAGCCAAGGCAAGAAATTAGGAATGTGTGTGTGTCTTCTCCACCGTCTCTTCTCAAAACTCATGTGAGCAGCTCTTTTTTGTTTTCTGGGCCACCCTACCCTCCCTCTCCTCGTTAATAATGCTGCAGCTTGATCCCAAATTCTTCTCTCTAAACATCTCAGCACAGTCCTCTTGATCTCCCTGCCTCTTTCCTGTAAATATGTAAGTATGCTGGAGCGTGGAATCTGTAGACTAATGACATGGTGAGATATTATATGTTTTATACATTTTGTATCAAGATGCCGGAGAAATGGTCTTCACTCCCAAGCTTTCAGGCTCTGCAAGCCATTTTGGGGGTTAAATACAGCCTGCCTGCCTGTTGTTCTCTTTCTCTCTCTCTCAAGTGTTAAAAGGATTCAAAAATAGATGGGTGGAAAGTAAAGTTGGATGGGGTTCCCTCTGTGTCATAGAGTCAGGAGGCCAGCTGGCTAGCGCTGACTGTCTCGTGTACTCAGAGAAAAGGGCACTGATTAAATATTTCTCAGAGTACCTCACTGCATGTCCACTCTCAACTGTTTAGATATGGAATTCCTTCTTCTCTGCGCTTCCCCTTCACGTAACGACCCCCTTGTTTCCCACAGGGCGCCACTTCCTCCAGCCCAGCCCCGCCTGAGGTAATAGTTGTCCCTCTCTACCGGGTTAATACCGACAGAGGGCACGAAGGCGCTGACAGACCTCCAGCATCTCTGGGGCCCCACGGCCCCCCGGTCCCAGCGGCCGCCCCTGCCAGCTCACCTCTGACCTTCCCGACTCTAGACGATTTCATTCCCCCTCATCTGCAGAGGCGGCCCCACCACAGCCAGCCAGCCAGCGCCCCTGGCTCCCTCCCCCCAGCTAGCCAGACTCCACCGTCCTTCTCACCGCTGCCTCCGCTGGTCCCTCCGGTCCCCGAGGGCCTCCGCAGAGTCTCGGAGCCTGACCTCACGGGAGCTGTTTCAAGTACCGTAAGCTTGCGGGATCCCCTTTCTCCCAGCTTTCCTGAATGTCTGCTCCCGGCAGTAAGAAAACCAGCAAACCAACCCCAACCCCTTTCTCACTGAAGTACTAAGTTCTGAGAGAGATGTCGGCCGCCCTGTGTTTGTGTGATGACCGGGCCCGCCTTTGCTTTCACTAGAGCATGCCTCCCGTGTGTGTTCCATGGGCCCCCATGGCTGTTCACCAGTCTGTCTAGATGCTCTTCCTCTCTGTCCTGTTTGGAATGCACACCTTCCTGCAGAGAAAACCACTTCCGTGGCCTTTCCTTGGACTAGCTGTGCTCTTTGGGGGGCCGGGCAGATGTAGTGTGGAGAGCTGAGGAGAGCTGCAAAATTGTGTGCAAAAGCCAGCAGCAGGCACGGTGCTCACCATTTCTGTAGCAGGGAGCAGGGAGATTCTAGGGGAGGCAGAGGTTCACTCTTGTTGATTCTGCAGGCTAGCAGGCTTTCTTTTATATACAGCAATGGCAGAGACCGGGTTTTAAAAAAGGAGTTTAATTGAGTACATGGAGAGACAAGCCTGGTACAAGTGTTAGCACTGCTTCCTCAAAAGGAAGAAGGTTGTTGAGGCCCCTGCATAGTGGCCTCCAGGGAATTTTGAGGCAAAACAGTGCTTCAGTGGTCATGGGAAGTTAAGTGTCCTGACACTTCAGGTCCTGCTCTGCGAGGGACGCATCCCCATCGTAGTGGGAAAGCCAAGAGCTTTAGAGGAAAGACTGAGTCCAAGGACTCAGTCTGTTCTCTACTCAGGAGCCCTGGGAACCGAGAGACTGAAAGAACCTCCATGTGAGTCATAAAATGGGGACACATGGATCTCTTGGGGCTGTGGGTGCAGTGGGACCAAGTACAGAGAAGTTTCTTTTTCAGGGCTCGGCACAGAGAGCGTGCTCAGTAAATGTCAGCTTTGGTGCTGAGGGCATGCCCTAGCAAATGAGCCAGAGCCCCTCAAAAATAAGTATCTAGCTAGTTAACCATTCATCATTGAGTTCTGGTCATGTTCTAGGTATTCTGCTAAATGCTGTGGGCAGAACCATGAACAGGATTTATCTGAGTGGTATGTGGGTGCTCGAGTGTAGTGCTCATGGGATCCTCTGAGTTATACTCCTAGAGTTTCTGATTGAGTGGGTCCGGAGAGGGACTGAGGACTGAGACTTGGTAATAGGCATCAGGGGGAATTCTGATGCTGAGGATCTGTGGACCACATTTTAAGATGTAGTGACCTAGTGGGTCATGCAATTGGCTGATGTAACTAAATGTTCCTTAAAGAGGTATGCCTACAAAACTGGCTCCAGTGGCTCATTAAACATTATCCAGTCATGCAGAGAGCAGGGAGTAAACTTGTTTTTTGGCTTGTAAGAGAAATTACAGTGAGGTATCAGATAAAAAGCTGAGAAAGGCTACATCCCGGGCTTGGTCCTCTGCTCAGACCTCTAGATATAATGTGATGCTATTAAATGAAAAGTGTGAGTCACTCAGTTGTGTCCGACTCTTTGTGACACTATGGACTATAGCCTTCTGGGCTCCTCCATCCGTGGAATTTCCAGGCAAGAATACTGGAGTGGGTAGCCATTCCTTTCTCCAGGGGATCTTCCCAACCCAAGGATCAAACCTGGGTCTCCCGAATTGCAGGCAGATTCTTTACTGACTGAACCACCAGGGAAACCCAGTGGTTAGTTGAGGACCTGGCCAAATGTGGCCCAGGGGCTTGGATATCCTAGCTTTGAGCCTTGCCACTCAACTCTGTTGGAGAAAGGTGCTACATTGTTCACTGATGCACTTTCCTCACCCCAGCTCAACTTAGAGATGAATTTAGAAGCCACTCTTGTTTTGGAAAGTACAGGCAGGGACTGTTTCTCTGGAGCAGCATGTAAAGCAAGTCTTGTTTTTATGGCACTAGAGTATCATCCCGAGTAGTGCTGTTGTGTATTCTACACTTTGGACTTCCCCGGTGGCTCAGTGGTAAAAGGATTTGTTGTAGCATAAGAGACACAGGAGATGCGGATTGGGAAGATGCCCTGCAGGAGGGCGTGGCAACCCACTCTAGTATTCTTGCCTGGGGAATCCCATGGACAGAGGAACCTAGTGGGCTACAATCCACAGGGTCACTAAGAGACATGACTGAGGTGACTGAGCATGAGGATTCTACTCTTTGTTATTTGCGTATATCTAGATTTTCATATTGAGTTTTTTTCTGGTGTGCCAGGAAAGATTAGTTGGGTCAGTACCTTCAGTTGTCTGGTCAGCCTGGTATAGACTTCCCAGGTGGAGTTCCTTTGGCCTGATAACTTCTGGTTTGGCCTTGGGTACAGAGTAAGAGGTGAAAAAAGAAACTGGTCAGATTCCTGCATTGAGTGAGAATTATCAAGAGAAACAGGAGCTCCTGTGGATGGTGGGCAAACCATGGGTTTATATCTGCTCCATTTGCAGTGATTGAAGAGTAACAAGGAAGAAAATTTCATGTTAATTGATCCAAGTTCTTTTAGTCAATAGTCATTTTTGTGATGTTCCAGAAATAAGATTTATGCCAAAGTAAAATTTAGGAGATGCTTAATGTTCACGTGATCCACCCAGGCACTTATACTTTAAAGAGCTGTATGCCTGATTTTTTGTGTGTTACTTGGATGCATTGAGGCAGAGTTTTGACACTGCTATGTCATTTGTCTTTATTACATCACTTTGAAAGTAAATGAGGACAAGTGTAGTTGTTTTTCCACTATGCAAAAGAAAGAAATGAGGTGAGGCACTTTTGTCCAAGATCATATTTTGTCTCTTGAGTCTTGGGGAAAGGTTTTATTCACTAAATTGAGCTGCCACTCATAACTAACAGCTGTTAGAGCACTTTCAGAACAGGTGGGCTGACCAAGCTAGTATTTTTAAGGAAGCCCCTACTGTGTGTCAGGAGCTGTCCTGGGTGCTGACACGCATATCCTCTCTTTTGATGGGCATGTGTTCCCTTGCTACAGAAGTTGTAGCTGGTAGATGTCTCCTCTCATTCATGTGGCATTTACTGAGCACTGCGGTCCACAGGGCTTTGTGCTAGGTGCAGGTGGAAGATAAGAAAGGGAAGCGGGGCCCCTGTCCTACAGGTGCTTATAGAGTCCTTGGTCTCTGGTGGAGCATACTGATTGCTTGGAGCTACACTTTTATCTAGAAGGTAACTATCAGTCTTGTTCTTCAAACCTTTTATTCTGACTTTAGGGTCTGTAAGCTTAAAAATGGAAACTTTGCAAAATTTATAGGAGTGATAGAGGAAACTACATATCCTTACTACATTTTGAGATCTTATTTTCATGTCTCTAAAAAGACTGATATGATTCCCATTATGCAGATTGTAACATTAGTAGTAAAAATTTTATTGGTACTTCTGGCAGACACCTCAGACTCTCAAAATCAGGATTTTCATAAGTCTTCAGAGATCTCTGTGACTCAATATTGGAGTGAAAAAATGCCACAGTAGGACCAGATAATGTCCTAGAAGTGAGTGCTGGTAGGGTTGTTCAGTGGTACAGATGAGAACAGCGTTCCAAGAGTTCCAATACTTAACTCTTCCCTGTTCTTATTAATATGTCGATGGCTTCTTGTCTTCACAGCATCTCAGTGTTTCTTTACATAAGTACTAAACTTTCCTGATTTTCTCCCAATTAAACCAGCTCTTGTTCTCAAATTGCATTGTGGATTGCATGAATTTTGCATGTTATGCTACTTTGATTTGAATTTGCTTTTTCAGTAATCGGATTGAGCCACAGTTATGACCAGATGAAAATAATGAATGATGTTGCTGAGACTTCGAGTAACATTCACCTTCCTTCTCTCCCCTTACTAATCCCAACAAAAAGAATAAACATTGCACATTAAACTTCTAACTGGAATCAACATGTCTCACTGGTTACATTTCTTTTTATAATTAAGATCCTTGTAAAGCTTTAAATCTCTTCTTTTTACAAGGCCTTATCTCCAGGTTTCATGTAGTTGCATTAAGTGACAATGTTTGCTTCCTTTTCAGGACTCGAGTCCTCTATTAAATGAAGTTTCTTCATCCCACGCTGGAACTGATTCCCAGACCTTTGCATCAGTTAGCAAGCCATCGTCTGCCTACCCCTCCACGACAATTGTCAATCCCACTATTGTGCTCTTGCAACACAATCGAGGTAAGGGGTCTGCGAGGTGCACCCCTCCCCCAGCTGGCCAGAATCAGCCTAGCTGTCCTGTGATGTCTGGGGCAAGGATTCTGCCATTCCACAGAATTTTTCACAAATCCCATTCTTTCCCGAGGCCACCTGCCCTGGTTCACTCACTCCCACGACCCACAGAGTAGATCGAAGCCGCAGACAGAGGCCCCCTTATGGGGGTGAGGCCAGGTGTCTGAGTAAGTAGGTGACATGTGTTCCAAAGCCTGGGTATTCAGTTTTCCTCAGTTGGGAGCTCCAAAAAGAGAGAAAAGACAGAAAGGACAATGTCTGCCCCTTAATTCCTGTCATGGGAATTCTAGTCAGAGCTTTGCTGGGAAAATCTTGGTGCCGTCATATCTTTTAAGTACCATTCTAAATCCTGTAGTTCTGTGACATGGAATTTCTAGAAAGCAAAATTTCAAACATCAAAATTAAAAATAAAAGAAAGAAAACCTACTGGATGGGAAATTTTCTAAAATAGAAACTGTTTTTGTATCTCTGCAACAGAAGCTTTTGAACTTTCTCTTAGTGACTCATGGCCTCCGTTCTCCAGAAGTCACTGCGCTGGGCGCTCCCTCAGCAGTGCCCTCTGGGGACTTGGGGTTGGGGTGGTTCTTTGCCCCTTATGCTATGTGGCCTCAGACAGTGCTGCTGAGGACTCTCCTGTTTGTTTTCTAGAGTTTCTGCTTCTGGTTGGTTCTTCCCCTTCTCTGAAGGGGTGTCTTAGGGGAAACAGAGTGCTTTGAGGTAATCTTGTATATGATGACCTTTCTGCTTTGAAATGCCAGAAGATGATTCTAAGTCCCAAGTTTTCCTTTTTTTAAAAGTTTAATTTAGTTATTTGGCTGCACTGGGTCTTAGTTGCAGCATGCTGGGGTCTATTTCCCTGACCAGGGAACAAACCTGGGCCCCCTGCACTGGAAGCACAGAGTTCTAGCCACTGGTTACCTAGGAAGTCCTGAAAGTTTTCATTTTTGAAATTCCTTACGGGAATAAACTTTCCCTTTACAAAAGTCCTTTTCAGTGTAAAATGTAAAGTTTTAAAGCAGTTTCCTAATGTGAAAGGGGCTCTTGAGTCTGAATTTCAAAACACAGTGGAGGTTTAATCATTTTATTCAGAGCTCAGCTTCCTTGACTCCCTGCTCACCCACTTCATAGTTTTCCTCCCTGCCCTTCCCTCTCTGTGTTAACTTGGATGAAAATCGACTGGAGTCTATTTTTAATTGTTTTCCATATTAAATGGAATTCTTCTGTTTCCTGTCTCTAACTTGAAAAGCAGATGAATGAAACATTTTCTCTCACTTAAAATCTTCCCACTCAAATCTTACTTATTTTAGTAATCCTGTTTTTTCATTTTGTGAGGCTCTGCTATTAATTTTCACCCATGAATCTGTGTCCTTCAAAGGATAAAGAGTCCCAACCCCCACACCAAGCTACATAAGAGCCCATTTTCCTTCCAGCAGTGGGATACCCCTTACTGGCAGTAGCTTTTTCTGCCCAGAAAGTGTCCATTATGCAGGACAAAGTGAAATTTTGGTTCTCTATGAACTTCTTTATGACTCATCTTTTTAAACAAAAAACAAAAAAACTCACTCAAAAAGAAGCAAGTTAGTTAGTTCCCAGAAGGAAAGGCATTTTCTCTAAAGACAGGATTTATTCCCAAGGCAACTTGGTTTTTGGGAAATGCCAAGTGTAATGCCAGCTGCTTCTGATGACACCTAGTGAGACGTTTCTGGGCACAGTAGTGCCTGCAGTTTCTTTTTGTTTCTTCCCTGAACAGATGGAATCTTGTTTACTCAGATGCCTTTGGTTCTTGCCTTTCTCTTTTGTCCCATGTCCTGCATCAGAACCATGCAGCCTGAATCACATGTCCTTCAGAAAAGGGTTCAAGTACCTTCATTCTTTGGAATTAAAAGATAACTTCCCATAAACAGTAAACCATAAGCTCCTTAAGGAGGTGGGGAAAGTGCAGGAGAATGGAAGCCCCTAGTGGGCCTAGCTTTGGCTCACGAGTCATCAGCTTGCTTTAAGGCAGGCGTTTTTGGCTTTGCTTTGGAATGTATCCGCCCTGGCAGCCCTGCTTTGCCTCATCAACAGTACCCATGAAAAGCAGTTTAACTATTGCAAAGTCTCCTGAGGGAATGATAACTCTGCTCCACTTTTAGAATTCTGGTGTAGTCATCGTAGAAAAGGTTCCCTTTGTTCCTGCCCTGGCTGCCCAGGGGCCCAATATGACAGTAACGCTGTCTCCCCAAGCCAGGCGGCCCCAGCTGCACCTCTGGCCTGGCTCTCACGGTTGTGTAAACGTAGCTCTCATCACTCCCTCCAGGGTTTCCCATCCCACATGTGTTGGAGGGCAGATGGCTTACCATCAGTCTGGGGAGGAGAGTTTGAACTGGAAAACTCTCAGGACTGAGAGAGGGTCTGGGTGCCTGGGAGGTTCTTGGTCACAGTGCACATAGAATGCTGGGAGTTGGATTCAGAACGTCTTTGGTGTGTGAGAGGGGAGGGTTTGGGGAGAGGTTCTGCATATTTTAGCAAGCTTGCAAGACATATCCATGGACCAGATTGGGGGACAGGAGCTTGGTGGTCCCAAATTCCTGGATCTCATGGTCATGTGAAACAGTCTGGGGACCACCCTAGGATTGCTGATTTCTAACTTTGCCCTAAATAACACTCCTGAAAAGCAACTGCTGTGGTCCGCATTGCACGCATCTCCTCGGAAAGAAAGGCTATCCCACACCTCAGAGGCAGGACACCACGTCATCTCGTCAATTGAGTAAACATTCTCTTGATGGCTGGAGAAGGCCTTGCCTGCAGCTTGGAGACCAGCATTCGGGAACCATAGATTCAATGAGCACTTTAACAGAGAAGGAAACTGAGGCTGAGGCATTACGTGATTGGTCAGTGCCGTCTGACAGGTTGCCGGCAGAGCTGAGCTGGGGCTCTGCTGAGCCGCTGTGGTCTAGCCGGTGCGAACCTCGTCCGTGTGCCTGACATGAACACGGCGGCTTCCACCGGCTGTGAGTGCCTCTGCTGCTTGCTTACTTCTTGCCACGCTGGTTCTGGAAGGAGGGTGGGGACACAGCCAAGGGGGATGATGACAGCACCCAGGGGCTGGCAAGTTTTCTATTTTTATACTTGTGGCTGCTTTATATTTAGCATCTGTAGAAGGTAAAGGTCATTTCTGTGTTTATCCCAAAGCACGTACACACCAAACTCTCCAGAGGAGATGCTGGCTTCCCCTCTGTGAGGGTGCTGGGAGGATGGGAAACCAATGGACCTCTGATGTTAAGAAACAGCCGGGCCTGGTGATTGGAGAATTGAAAAGAAACGTGGGGGACCCAGGTTCTAGACACGGCTCTGATTTTCACTGTCATCTTGGGTAGTTTGTGCCTCTTGACTGAGATCTCTCAGGCAGTACTGACCTACCTGCAGGGGTTATTGTGAAGATTAAAAGCCTTTTAACATGAGTGAAAGGCTCTGAAAACAGTGTCTGGCATGTAGAAGCTCTCAGATGGTAGTGGCCATGGTTATGATTCCATTTTCTCGGAGGTACCAAGACTGGGATGTATAAGGTCCTGCTCTCTTGAGACCAGGGGAGCTAAGGGTCTCTTTCAGTGATCAGATCACCTTAATACAGGATGTAAACAACCAGAAAACAGTGACAGTTCTCTGATTCCTGGGGGGAGAGGAATAGGAGACACTACACCCAGATCATGACGCCACATTAATACCCCTGTATTCAGCCGAACTACACACCAGTTTAGCATCTAAGCTCAAAGAACAGTGAGACACGGATTTGGGGATCCTAACGAGTTGGGCCAGGACTTCTTGGTCTTACTGTGTCTGTATAAATCTCACTTACAACTGTGTATTTTTTTGTTTTATCACAGAACAGCAGAAACGACTCAGTAGCCTTTCAGGTAGGTGAGAAATATTTATTTACACATTAACACGTGTTCCTGCTAAAGCCGTCTTCTGGCCTCCACCTGATGTGTTCAGTCAGTGAAGTCTTGCGAGCTTCTCTGATGTGTTGGGAACTCAGCTTACTGTTGGCTGCAAGGATGCTCAAAACAGGCATGGTGGCTGCCTCCCTGGAACTTGCAGATTGGTAGCCGTACCCTGATGGTACAAACTAGTACATGTGTCCAGTGGGCCTGTGACAAGTACCTTGATGGATAAGAACATTCCAGTCTGAATAAAAGCAACAAGGAATCGTGCTTTAGATGGAGTGTTCCTGGCCAGTGTCATTGAAGAAGGCACCTTCCTATTGCTTCTGTCTGTCTTCTAGGATGTGATAGGTTTGGGACTGGGGAATGTGGTGAGTCCTCTTCTTTTTGGCTGGCAACCCCAAGTGCCAGTAGGTGACCCTGTGATGATGGACCTAGGGGAGCACCTCCAGACCAGCAGTGCCTGGAAGAGGGCAGAAGAGCACTGCCTCTTGAACTTGAGGGGGCATCAGACCCTCCTGGAGAGCTGGCCAAATCCCGGATTCCTGGGCCACCCCTCCAGAGATTGGGTGTCGTGGGTATAGATGAGAAGTTGCATTTCTCATCAACTGCCCGGTGGCTCTAGTGCTGCCCTCTGTACTGACTGCACCAGAGTTGCAAGTTTCTTCAAGGGTCAGCAGTGGCAGGGAGTGATTGCAAGTATAATCATGTATCAGGGCTCACTCTTTGATAAAGTGTGCAGAATTGGGACAAGGTTGGGGTGGGGAGGGAGCCCAGGCATGGGAATGTTTTAGGCATTTCCTTCCGACTTTGTGTAGCTGGAATCCTGGTTCTCCCACTTACTGACGGTGTGACCTTAAGCAGGTTCCTGATGATCTAAACTATGAAATCGGTTTTTATCTGCTGACTAGGGAAAGCAGTAGTGCCTCTGGGTTCTGCTTGTCAACAGCTGAGCACTGGTGCTCGTAAGTGCTTGATAGACGTGAGTTACTGTTGCCAGTCGGCGCCTCCATTGGTTCGCTTGTTATTGTATTGAACGCCTCGGCGTCAGGCACCCGGCCAGGATCTGGGGCTATATCAGGGAACTATGCTTCCCTGGAGCAGCTTATGGTGTGGGATCATGGCTTGTAACCTTGGTCATAGACTCATTTGGAGACTCTAAACAAGGCAGTAGATTCAGGCTCCAGGAAAAACCACACCTATGCAAACACATGACATGTGGTGGATTTGCAGATGCTCATGAACTCTGGGCTTGAGGACCCTGATCTGGTGGATAACAGAAGCACTGTTTTCCTGAGCAGCTGCTCCATGAGTTCTGGGTCCATTCCTCCTACTGCTGTCCTTGTGATTCGTGGAGAGCCCGGCAGAGAAGATACAGGGTTCTCACACCCTCTCTGCTTTATCGGGACTTGGCTTCAGGGTGGGGACAGGCTGTGGCTGAGCTCAGGTGCCCTTTGTGGCCCCTCCAGGAGCTGCCTTGCTCCAGCCCACTTCATTCCCTGGCTCTAGCCCAGGTGGCTGAGAATAGGGTGGCTCTGAAAAGGAGCTCCTATGGGTGCCTTCCTGCCTTTGGGAGTCTGAAAGGGCACCTCAGCACAAGTTAGGGACCCAGAGTTTGGTCCTCATTCTTCCTTCTTTTACAGTAGCTGTTTGCCCCTGAGGATGTGACTTCACCTCTCTGAACCAGTTTTCTTATATGGGAATAGGCTTGGTAATCCTTGCTCCTGCCTCAGAGAGGCACTGTAGGGATCCCGTGGGGCTTCCCAGGTGGCTCAGTGGTAGAGTGTCCACGTGCCAGCTCAGGAGACGGGTTTGATCTCTGGGTCAGGAAGATCCCCTGAAGAAGGAAATGGCAGCCACTCCAGTATTCTTGCCTGGAGAACTCTGTGGACAGAGGAACCTGGTGGGCTACAGTCCATAGTGTCGCAAAGAGTTGGACACAACTGAGTGACTGAGCAGCAACAATAAGGGCTCCTGTGTGATAGGAGGGGGGCATGTGCGCTGCACCCTGGAAGGTGCTTTGTGAATATCACAGCTTCTCTTTAATGTTGGCAGACTCAGGCCACTTCCTCTGCTCTAAAATAAGCCCAGTGCTTCTATCCTCTAGTTTCGGGACAGATCCACCGATCGTGTTTGATAGAGTGGGGCGTGACGTAGGTGCTCACTAAAAGTACTTTTGTTTAAAAAGAAAGAGCACTGTTTTGTTCAGAAGCTCCTGCAGGAGGGAGGGCTGGTGGGGCTGGTGCTCTGGAGTAAGGAGAGTGGGGCTTTGCCCCTCGCCTCAGTGGTGATGGGCCCTGAAAGGACCACCAGCCTCCCTCTCATAACAGACTTTGTATTGAACTTCTAAGGGGCTTCATGTTCAATGAGATTCATCCAGGAATGAGACCTGGGATTTGGCCTCATGAAGCTCCTGTCCCCTGGGTAGAAAGACCAGAAAACAAAGGCTGGGACAGAGGGGCCAGCATAGGGTACCGAGAGGTCACCCTCCCTTCCCTGAGGAAAGTGCAAGTGTGGCTGTGTTCCTCAATCACAGAGCTTTGGGTGTAAAGAATAGGAATGCTTTTCCACCTCTCACAAACACAGATGCCCTGTCCAGGTTGTCAACAGCATCCTTTTTTTAGTGGCCCTTTCCAGGACCTGCCTTTGAAAGCACAGTATAAAACTAGAAGGAAATGCTCCAGGATGTCATGTGTTTGCCTACTGAGAAATAGCAGCAAGACTTCACTGTAACCCATAAGATGTCAGAGGGTAGCCCTGTTACCTGCGTGGTACAGTGAAGTGCCACCTTGGGTTTCCACTGTATAAAGAAACATTTCTTTAGAGGCTGCAGTTCAGCCCTCTGTATTGAAACCCAGTCAATCACTAGTCACATGATCACAGGCTCCTAAAATAAAATCATTCAGAGCTAATTTTTGTAGATCAAAAGGACGCTGGCAGCTTGGGAGCAAATCCGTGGACTGTCAGCTTGAGTTTTGCAATTAAGTGATTGTTGCTCGAACCACCTTCCCTAACAATTTCTTAAGAGTCACTCTGGGTCTGGAAATGCTGAGATTGGCATATCTGTGATCTTTCCCTGAAAAGACAACAGTAGAGGGTGCAGACTGAGAGCATCTCTAAGCCTGAAATCGGCCTCATCTGTGTTGCCTGATCACACCTAGACAAAGCTTTTCCAGGGGGGAGGAGAGTGTTCAGCAGAGCCATGTTAAGGGTGAACTCTGGTAAGTCAACATCCACCCACCCTGACATCCCCCCACCCTCCCAGGCCTCCTGCCAAATCCTTGAACCCTCCTGTTAGAATTTCCTGGGAGCCTGAGAACTCATCCCATAAAACCAGTCTAATCTTAGCATCCTTTAAAGCATAAGGTGATGATGTCAGAGATGCAACAAACTAGTGAATAAAACAAGAAAGAAGCAGACTCAGAGAAGTAGAGAACCCACTAGTCGTAACCTGGGAGAAGAAGGGCAAGTGGGAGATACAAACTATTGGGTGTAAGATAGGCTACAAGGATGGATTGTACCATATTTTGTAGTAACTATAAATGGGGTGCATGGCAACCCACTCCAGTATTTTTGCCTAGAGAATCTCATGGACAGATGAGCCTGGCGAGTTATAGTCTAAGGGTTGCAAAGAGTTGGATACAACTGAAGTGACTCAGCACACGTCAATGGAGAATAACCTTTAAAAATTGTATAAAAATTTTAAAAATCAGTGCTATGAGAAATCATTTTAATGAATAAATCCCTATATCTTAAAAAAAAAAAAAAAAAGATGATGGAGTTTTCTGAAGCACTCACAAAGCTGTCTCACACAGAACATTTAGAAATTTCTCTGCGGCCCCAAAATGAGTGTTTGTTTCAAAAGCTTGTTGGAAATTGGGCAGATCCTGACACACTCCTTCCTCCCATGCTCCTAGTTACTGCCCACTTCCGCTCACAGATTCCTCCCTTTCCCTGCCACCTGGCATCTCCCCTCACTCCTCTCCTGAAATTTGCTCCCGAGTGATCCTCTGACTCTTTTTTTGCCTAAGGTAATGCTGCCTCCTCAGCTTTATTTTTCTTTTTTCCTCTGACGCATTTAACATCCCACTTCTTGGAACTCTGTCTTCTCTGGTTTCAGGGACGCTTGCTTGTTCCTCTCTGGTTTCATCTCCTATCCCTCCAGTGACTCCTGCAAGCTTCTTGCTGGGATGCCTTTTTTTTTCTTTTTTCTTTTCATCCTGTAACCATGACATTCCTCACTATGTGACTTTGGCCTTTAACTCTGCTCTCACCTCCTCTGCTGACCTCATCCGTCTCTTTGCCTTCAGCCATCACTTTTGTGCTGATGGCTCCAGAATCACCCTCTTCTGGGACCTCTTCCTGGGCTTTGCTCTCATACTTCTTCATTGTCTCCATGGCATTTCTACTTTGTCGAAGGTGTGGAGGTAGCCATCTCCCTGCCTTCTCCAGCCCATTTCCCTTTCCCAACTTCTCTGTTTAGATCAGCAGTCTCTCTAGTGCAAAACCTTGGTCCCCTCTTTGAGCAAGGCCAGATAGGATGTGGCTCAGAGAGGACCGCTGAAGTCAGGTGGACATGAGGCCAAATCCCAGCTTGACCACGTGCTGCTGTGTGACTTCAGGAAGGCAACCTGACTTCTCTGTGCTTTTTTCCCCTTACCTGTAGATGGAGGGATGATGGTAGTTTCTTCCACACAGGGTTATTGGAAGGATGAGATGAGATTATGAACTTGAAGAGCTTAACACAGTGCCTGGCACAGGATAAGCTCAGAGAAGTTCAGGGGCCCCTGGCATTTGCTTATGCTATTCCCTCTGCTGGGAGCACTGTTCCCCTCCTGTATGTGTCTGACTGACCCCTCCTCTGAGAGGTGGCCCTGAACCCCAGTTCCTTGGCTGACCTGGGTGCAGACTCCTCTGTCAGCCCTGGTCACCTCTGTTCTCATTGCTGGCTGGCCTGATCTTTCTGCCACTAGACCATGAGTTCCTTGAAGGCCAGGCTAGGAAAGGTGCACCCCCACATCCACAGCACATGTGAATGCATAGCATCCACAGTGCCTGTGAACACATAGCACCTGTCAGGTTCTTACTTAGTAAATGCCCTCTGCAAATAAATAACATGCCTTGGAATAACAGAATACACTAAGTTTATAATCTATAGACCACACATAGTATGTTTATTAGCTCTCTGTAACTTCTGATCCTGAATTGAATTAAATAACCCTTAATGTCCTTTTAGCAGTTTACTGTTTTCTGAGCACTTGGTATAAGCTATCTTATTAGGACCTTAACATGTGGATGTGAGCTGGCCAGTTGAAGTGTTATCTCCATATTTGAATGAGAAAACAGAGGAACAGAAAAGTTAAGTGACTTCCCCAAGGTGAAACAAGAACTTTCAAGTAGTGTTTGGCTACTCTCTTGTGGATTTACCTATTCCCTGACTTCCTAGAAGAGTCAAAACTACCTGGATTTCTAGAGCACCAGGTAAAAACCTCTGTAGGGCACTTACCACACTGTCTACATATTTTTTAAAAGGGTCAAATTGGTGGAAAATGGTATGGAGTTTTCTTGAAAAGACTAAAAAATAGACCTACCCCATGACCCAGAAATTCCATTCTTGGGTATATGGCTGAAGAAAAAAACCCACCAATTCAAAAAGATACTTGCACCTCAGTGTTTATAGTAGCATTATTTACAGTTGCCAAGGTATGGAAGCAATGCAAGTGTCCATCAACAGATGAATGGATAAAGAAGATGTGGTGTGTGCATACAGTGGAATACTACTCAGCCATAAAAAGTGAAAATTTGCCATTTGCAGTAACATTCGTGGAGTTGGATGGCACTGTGCTAAGTGAAATAAGTCAGAGAAAGGCAAATGCTGATGATATCACTTACATGTGAACTCTAAAAAATACAACAAACTAGTGAAAAAAGCAAAGCAAACAGATGAAGAGAATAAGCTAGTGGTTACTAGTGTGGGAGGGGCAGTATTTAAGGGTAGGGGGAAGAAGAGTTATGGGATTATATGAAATCATGTGTGTGGAACTTTAAAAATTTATAAAACACTGCAGAATTTAAAGAATCTTTCATTCAATAAATAAAGAATAAATACAAAAAGAAAAAAAAAGGGAACCAGATGGTAAACATGTTACGCTTCGCAGGCCATATGGTTCCTGTCGCAGCTACTCAGCTCTGCCGTTGTAGCTCCAAAGCAGGCATAAATAACGTGTTGGCGCAGGCTGTGGCTGTGTTCTAATAAAACTTTATTTACAGAAGCTGGGGGCTGGGCCCTGGTGTGCTGACCCCTGCTCAAAACACAGCTCCAAATTGGCAAACACACTTTCCCCCAGCTGGATTGTTTGGGGGGAATTTGCTTTGGCGCTACCACAAGAGCTTCAGTTAATGGTTGCTTTTCTTTTCCAGATCCTGCCTCGGAAAGAAGAGTAGGAGAGCAGGACTTGGCACCAGCTCAGGAAAAACCCACCTCCCCTGGCAGGGCTGCTGAGAGGAAGGCGAAGGATGACAGCCGGCAGGCGGCCAAGAGCACTCAGGACCTAAGCGATGTTTGCATGGATGAAGTGGGCATCCCACTCCGGGTACGAGTGTGGACCTGGAAGTCCTTCCTAGGCTTTGTCCTAAGCCGGTGACCCTGAGTCCACGTGAACTCCCTCTGTGGGTGGCAGAGACCCCAAAAGGAGAATGCTCACCACTCTCCCCTCTTCAAGCCCACAGAGGCCTGTGGAGCCTCTAAGAGCTGGGCAACAGCTTTTCCCAAGGCATATGTTAGCTCTTACTGAATCCAGGAGAACAGGGTTTTGTGGTGAGATGAATGTGGGGAGAAGCTGGTGGAACAAAGGCAGAGTGGTTTCTGTGCAATAGAACAGAAAGGCTATTTATTTGTTGAGAGGCTGGGGCCCTATTTCCCCATCTCCTTTATCATCACTCTGTGGTCCAAGCTTAGAGAACCCTGGGCAGGGTGTGAGGCTCAGGGTCCCTGCTACAGCGGGTTCAGGAGGAAGTTCCCCTGGTGGAGAGGTGGGAGATAACCTCCTTATCCGGGGAGAGTAGGAAACTTGAGGGACTCACAGGGTGCATTCAGCTTGCAGGGCCTCGGACAGGGTGGTTCTCTTAGTAGCTCTGCCCCAACCCTCCCCACCCTGTAGACCCACCAGCCTCCTGCAGACCCTAGGTTCCCAGGGATGCCTCACTTTTGAAGCTGGATTGGGGTGAATCCCATCCCTCTCCATGTGCCTGCTTGGGGTGTGTTTCTCTGTGATTACCGTTGAGCAAAGGACAGGTTTTTGTGTCCCTTGGGGAGAGGCTGATGGAAACAGCAGTGGACTAAACCTCAAAAGAACTGTTATGTGGGACTTCCCTGATGTTCCAGTGGTTAAAACTCCACTGTACTTCCAATACAGGGGGCACAGGTTCAATCCCTGGTTGAGAAACAAAAGATTCCACATGCCATGCACCACAGCAAAAAAAAAATAATGATAATGTTATGTGATCCTAAGAAATAATAATATGTGGTAGGAAGACTTGTTACTAATAATGATTGCATCTTCCACTTCCAAATGCACTGTCTCATTTAAGGATGATTCACCATACAAGGTAGTTAGTAATATCTTTCCCATTTTATAGATAAGGAAATGGGAACTAAGGAAGGATGACTTGCTCCGATTGCACAACTGAGCGGCCCCTTCCTTCTAACCCTGTGTTGGGCAGCCTTCCCGCTGACCACCTCACCCGCTCTGTGACCTTAGGTAGTCACTTTGACTTTCTTTATCACATTTCTCATCTGTTAAGTGGAAGTGAAAGTATTTGATCTAACCACCTATCTGTCTCTTTCCTTGTTTAATTTTTATCTTAAAAAACTACCCAGCTTTGCGGTTAGGATGGAAATTCTCCGGCATTGGATGCTGTAAGGGATTATGTCTTGATGTATACATTCTATACCTGGCCCTATGCAGGTGGCTTAAATACACTTCTACAGAAGAGTTTAAATGAGAGATCACAAAGATGTATAGACTTACATGCAGTTTGACTTGAGACGTTGTCATTTTGCATGTTGCTTTTATAATCCTGGAAGTTCTGAAATGTGCTGAGATTCTCATTTTATTTTACTCTTTGTTTTTCTTCAGAACACCGAGAGATCAAAAGACTGGTACAAGACCATGTTTAAGCAGATCCACAAACTAAACAGAGGTACTGATTTTCATTTGTAGCAACTGTGCTGTGCCCATATGTTGACTATTGCAGTGAGGACCTAAACTCACTTGGCTGGCAGACTGGGCCCTGCGGCTTGACCTCGTTAGGCCCTGACCTGCCTGAGCCCAGTCTTGCACCTTCAGAACAGAGTGGGCAGGAGAACTCCTGTGCCTGCCTCACGTGTGGGAGGAGCCGAGGGCAGCTCCCAGGCCCGCCCTCCCAGATGTTGGGGATGCTGCAGGCTGAGCTCAGCATCCTGCCTGTGCCCTTCAGCGTCTGCCTGCCTGGACTGCGAGCAGCTTCCACTCCCACCCGCTTCTGGCTTTAGGTGACCCTCCCAGTGTCAGCCCATGACTGCCTTGTAGGCAGAGCGAGCTGAGAGGGCATGAACTGGGTGTTAAAAATGTTCTCATCTGGGTTTAGTTCCCCAAGCACTCAGGTGACCTTGGACTAATCATGTACCCCTCTCTCTGTGTGTTGTCCCCTTTGCCTCCCTCTGAGGGAAGCTGCAAGGTCCAAATGAGGGCAGATTCTGCCTTGTGAAGTAGGATGCATGGTATACCTGTATGGTGGTGTTAATATGAAAAATCAGCTTCCTCGGCTGGGAGCCAGCACTTGGCAGGTAGCCCCAAGAGACAGTCAAGAGCTGACACTACAAAACTGCTCAAGCTGGGGGAGTAGTGCTTCCTAATCAGGGGCCTGCCGGGCTGCCAGCAGGGGACCCAGCATGGTGGGAGAACCCCAGGTCAACGCTCCCAAACAGCTCCCATCCTCCTATGCTGCTGGTCAGCTGCTGGGCAGGGATGCAGCTGTGCCATGGGAAGGGTACCACTGCTCCGGTGGGCAGAGCATCCTGTCCTTCCCTGTGGCCAAATCCAGTCTGGCCGCCTGGCACAGATGACACGTGAAGGCAAAGGAAAAGCCTCTGGTCAGGGTCTGGTCAGCCTGTGCTGCAGATAACTGGTCTCTCTGGTTAACTGTGGATGCCAGCTCATGCATTCATTAGCTCCTGCAGAGTTCAGAACGAAACTGGGGGTGCCCCTCTTCAAACTGTTTTGTAAATATTGAGATGCTCAGTATTTAGTGTTTCTGAGCCAGGAGTAAATTCATTCTTTTTGAGGTAGATGAGCTCAGTCATGGTGGAGATGCTACATGCTGGCTCTCAGATGATGCCCATTCTACTGGTCACTTGTAGAAGCCAATGTCCATTTCCTCCAGCACTCTGTGTCTCTCTCACATTTAGACCCAGCTTTGGTGACCCGAATACTGAGACACAGGTGCCTATGTGAAAAATATATATTTCTGCTCCTCAAGCAGCATTGGTCTTCTCATATATTATAGCTTTTAACTCAACCTAAATTACAGATTCTGAGCAAAACTACCTGCCTTAGGCAGAGAGGTGTTTGAAACATTAAGAATCCACTTATTTGCCCTGATTCTAATGTCTATGACACGAGCTTTGATTTTTTAAACAAAAATCATTTGATGCTAGTGTTTTCTTTACACACTGTTTATTAGCATATTTCATTTTTTTGCCTATAAAAGGTGAAAGTTTGAAGCTTTGTACTGAATTCTTCTTCCTTTTTGGAGCCTGTATATATTCTTGGTCTAAGAAGAGAAGTGATGTTGTGTCTTTAAAGGTGTCTCAGTAATTCAGGCAAAAGGACTGGATTTTTAAAAGCGGTTTGAGTTTCTTCCATCACTGGTGAAGCTTAGTATGTTCCAGAATTCAAGGAGCCTGAATTGTGTGTGGATTTCTGTTTGTTCATTCTCTCCATTTGTATTTTCCTCTATTCTCTCTCCCAAACCCTCTCCTCTCCCTAGACACTCCTGAAGAAAACCCTTATTTCCCTACGTACAAATTCCCTGAACTTCCTGAAATCCAGCAAAATTCTGAAGGTACCATGAACTTAGAGAGTGTATCTAGCCTTAACTTAATTCTTATAGTTCCATTTTTAAGAATAAGATTTGGCTTTTAGATTTTGTTTTTTATAGTCATTTTTGGTTGGCAGAAATTTTATTTCACTCATTTGCATGATGTGCCATATGAAAATAACCAAATCCTTTCTAATTCATTAATCTCTTTTCAAGTGTGATGCCGTGTGTGCTTTAATAACACTAAAATAGGTAATCGGTCATTTGAAAGAGTCAATTGGAGATTTGTCACTTCCTCCACTTGGTGGTGGATAGTTTCAAAATCCACTGCTTTTCTCTGCTACAGAGGACAATCCTTACACTCCTACCTACCAGTTTCCTGCATCTACTCCTAGTCCTAAATCTGAAGGTAATTAAAGGAAAATCACGTGCCTCTCTTTGTAGCAGTGCTATTACTTTCTTTTTCACCTTGGGGTTCTTGCTGGTGGCTGAGAGCTGTCTCCCTATCATTTGCTTCCCTGTAAACATGTGTTTTGTGGTGTTCTCAAGTCCTCACTAACTGTGTGATTGGAGTCTATCCAGATGGTATTTTAGTCCTGTTCCCTTGAAGTTGACATAATTAATAGGGTTACCAATGTGGCTTCATTATAATGCTTTGAACACATGGGGCTCTGGGAAAAGCTGCCTGTGCCCAGCTACCCAGGGCTTTGTATTTGGGGTGGTCACATGGTGCTGGTGGCTGGGCAGTGACCCAGGGAATCTGAGTCATTAGGGTTCATGGGCAGGAGTTAGACGAGCCAGCGTCAGCAAGAGAAACATGACCGGGTTCCCGTAGGTGCAGCTCACTCTGCACTGGGCCACTCTTGTCCTCGGTGTATCTCCAGGTATATTTTCTTGGTAGAGAATTCCCCAAGAGGTATCCAGGTATGGGATTCTGTCATGGTGGGAGATGATATCCCTTGAAAAATAATAAGGGTTTTGGCCAAGCTAAAAGCTTTTCATGGAAGAGCTGACTAGGAATTTGGACCTGCTAGGGGAGAATGTCCACACTTGTATCTGGAAAATATTCTTTTCTGGAGTATATAGTCTAAATGTCAAAGAAGTTCTGAAAGGTGAGTGAAGGGCAACATTCGGAGAATTATTCTGGTCTCAGGGATTGTCTACTTTTCAGATGAGTGACCCAGAAAAGGGGGAGTGGGTGGGGTAGGCAGGAGGCACTTTGACTGTGTTCTCTTCTAGGATAAGATGTTGAATGCTCTGAGCTTCATCCAGTCAAGTAGTTACTGACCACTTGTGTGTGCCAGACACTGTCCTGGGAACTGAGAATAGTGCCATGAATGAGATATGTCATCTGTCTTCCAAAGTTCACATCAGGCAGGGAATTAGACAAGGCTGCTTCGTGGTACTAGGTCCAGCGTAGTGGCAGTTGCAAGAGCACGTGTCCAGAAGGGCACAGGAAACCTTGCTGGCACACAGTAGGTCCTGAGTACCTGCCTGGAGAATGTTGGTGAGTGAAGGCTTTGGACCACAGAATCTGAGTTCTTTCCTAAGGGTGAAGCCCAATGCCGCCCCTCTTCAGTTCATCTCTGTTCTAATTAGCTCAGCTTATCACCCTGCTCAACCCTTCTCATCTTTGGTGAAGTTGTCTGTTCCGTCATTCACCAAACTTTTATTGATCACTTCACGCCCATGAGAAGATGTGCTGAGCTGTATTAGATAACAATTTTAGTTAAAATATTATATTCCATTTTCAGTCTCCCTGTGATGTGCCCATCAATGGTTTCTAACACTTTAACCCCTGGGGCCTATTTCGAACAAAAAGAAAAATCTGCCAAAGGAATCAATACTTAAAAAATTTAAAGCTGATGATTTCATTGTAATCAGTGACCTTATTTTCAGCAAGAGTCTCTGGTGTGGGATAACCTAGGCTGAACAGGATGAGTGGGAAATTTTTTCAGGGTACTTTTAATCAACTGCAGTTTTTGATTTGTGCTTTTTTTGGACATGAGACCCCAACCCACTCATAAGATAGGATTCCTTTCTAGGGAAGATGACCAGCACACAGCATGCCTGAAGGTACAGAATCCCATAGGCATAGGCAGAGGAAGGTCACCTGGAGGAGGCCTGTGGAGAAAAACAGTGACTCCCACTGGCCTGGAAGAATGCCTTAGCTTGTCGCAGGCAGTGCCAGCAGTGTCCAGTCAGCCTGGCTGTTGAGCTGCAGTCAGGGTTTTGCCTTCTAGCCTCACACCAGAGCTGCCATGTCATCAACTGCCACACCTAGCAACCCTGGCTGACAGTGTGTGACATCTGTTTGGTGGTTCACGTCAAGTTGGGTACAAGAGAGAGAGTGGGGCTTATTTTACCATGAGGTATAAACAGGGATGACATGATAACTTTTCACTTATAATTTATGAAGCAGACCTTACTAGTTTTTATTTTCAAAGACCCACAAGGAAGAAATCGTCTTAAAGAATAAAGAGGAAAAAATTAGGTTGGATATAAAAGATTCATAATAACCAAGATAATTAGACTTTAACACAAGTTTCTAAGACGTCTTCTTGCCTGGAGATTTTTTTTAAAAACAGGGTTGGTTCTGTCTTGCCCCTGCTCTTGCCTGGAAGACAGAGCCAGACGTAGATCATGAAGTGAAGTGAAGTGAAGTCACTCAGTCGTGTCCGATTCTTAGTGACCCCGTGGACTGCAGCCCACTAGGCTCCTCCGTCCATGGGATTTTCCAGGCAAGAGTACTGGAGTGGGGTGCCATTGCCTTCTCCAACGTTTGAGCTAACTCACTGTAAAGCATTGTTATTTTCATTTTAATTTTTTGTTGAGTAATGAGAGAGCCTCTGGTTTGTGGTTTTGATATCTGTGAGTTTCAGCAGGTCCTCCTCAGCCCTGTGCTGCCAGTCAGTGGCCCTGGGTTCTGCACACCTTTCTTAATATGGGAAGGATTTATACCTTTCAAAGAAGGGTGTTAAAGACAGATTAGCACCTAACTGAGGTGGCACTAGTGGTAAAGAACCTGATTGCCAATGCTGAGATATAAGAGGCGCAGGTTCGATCCCTGGGTTGGGAAGATTCCCTGGAGAAGGGAATGGCAACCCACTCGAGTATTCTTGCCTGGAGAATCCAATGGATAGAGGAACGTGATGGGCTACAGTCCATGGGGTCACAAAGGGTCAACACAACTGAAGCGACTTAGCACAGCACAGAGCCTAACCAAGGCAGGCTCTACCCATGGATTTTAATGAGCATTGAAATTGAAAGTTGCTCGGTCCTGTCCAATTCTTTGTCACCTCATGGACTATATACTCCATGGAATTCTCCAGGCCAGAATACTGGAATGGGTAGCCTTTCCCTTCTCCAGGGGCTCTTCCCAACCCAGGGTTCGAACCCAGGTCTCCTGCTTTGCAGGCGGATTCTTTACCAGCTGAGCCACAAGGGCAGCCTTTTGAAGTGAGCATTTAAAAAATAGATTTACTGAGGAATGTGAGCTGTCATTCTGAGTCTGTTCCCTGAGGGAAGAAGACTGCTGCCACTTTTTTTTGTTTTGTTTGAATGCAGAATTTGGAAGTAGAATTATTTGCAATAAACCTATCAAAACCTTGCCTAAGGGCTACTGCTTTTTTTTTTTCTAAATTCTAGTTGATTATACAGTATAAAAGACATTTCTAAATGTCTCAAAGCTGATTCTCCAAAATAGTAAAGGACTATGTGAAAGTTTATGTCAAGCTTGGCCACGTCCCTTCTTCCCTCAAGCTAGAGTGAAAAAGTAAACTTCTGGCTGGACTTTTCAGAAGATAAGTAGAATTATCATGTCTTAATCACTGAGATTTAAAATGTACTTTTAAAAAGCCATAAATCCCAGCAAGGAGCAATCACTTGTAATCATTTTCTTATCTTTTAGACCACTCAATGGGAAAGGAGCAATGTTATATCTGATTATTCTTTATTTCAAGGGGTGGCTGGGAGGGATTGAGGCTAGGAAATTTGGGAAGAGTAGAATGAATTCAGGAGACTTATTTCTTATAATTTCTCTATAATACCCTGGTCCCTAGAAAGCTTATAAAAATAAAAATAATTTACCAGAAATCCTTTGGGAATAACCCTGAAGTAAGGCTAATAAGCAAATGAGTTTTACTTCCCTTTACTTTTAAACCTTCACCTGACCCTCTCTCCCCTGCCTATGAGCTACTTGTCTATGAATTACCTACCATCCAGTCTCTCCCTTAAAGAGCTTCCCAGGTGGCTTAGTAGTAAAGAATCTGCCTACCAGTGTAGGAGATGCAAAGGACCTGGATTCAGTCTCTGGGTAGGGAAATTCCCCAAAGAAGGAAATGGCAACCTACTCCAGTATTCTTGCCTGGAGAATCCCATGGACAGAGGAGCCTGGTAGACTACAGTCCATGCGGTCACAAAGAGAGTCCATGGGGTCACCAAGAGTGGGAGGATACGACTAAGTGACTGAGCATGCAGCATGCACTTTTTCTTAAAGGCACGTGTCCTTTCCTAGCATCTGAGATGCTACTAGGTCTTTTGATTGTGAGAGCGGAGAGAGGGAATGTTTAAAGAGACCAGAGCCAACAGTACCCACTGTTGTACCCAGACCGTGGAGGGTCTGCTAGACTGAGTCTTTGGACATCCTGCTCACATTTTCCTTCTGAAGCAGGAACCACAGGAACATGCTGTAGAGAAACCACTTCAGAAGCCCCGCCACTGCCTCCTGCTTTAGGAAACAGCAGTGTGGTGGCCAGCACCTCTGCATCTCACATTCATAATCCTATTAATAAAAATAATAGCACAACCACCTGCAGTAACTGCTGCCACTGTCATGTATTGAGGCCTGCCCTGGCTCGCACTGTAAAAGAATCTGCCTGCACTGTGGGAGATCTGGGTTCAATCCCTGGATTGGGAAGATCCCTTGGAGAAGGCAATGGCAACCCACTCTAGTAGTCTTGCCTGGAGAATCCCCATTGACAGAGAAGCCTGGCAGGCTACAGTCCTTGGGGTCGCAAAGAGTTGGATATGACTGAGCAACTAACACTTCCGTTTTCACTTACTGAATACAAGGCTGCATGCTGGCTGCATCACAGCTGTTATCTCATATTCATCCTCCCAGCAGCCCCATGAGGTAAGTCCTCATTTTTGTGAGGGCATGAGGCTCAGAAAGGTTCAGTAATTTGTGAAAGATCACACAGCAAGTGGCAGAGTGAGGAATCCAGCCCAGGTCTCTGGGGCCCCCCAGTCATGGGTGTTTGTTTACTCTGCTGATTCCTTTCCCTTTCCTGTTGCACTCCGTGTTCTTGGCTGTCCCCTTTGCCAGGGCTCTCTGGTGCCTAACTCAGGCATCCAACTGGCCTGCTTCTGAGGCAGTCATGCTCCACTTGGCTGAGCCAGCAACTCCAG